TTTCCTGATGGCGTGACTGTGCCCTGAATTAATTATTGAGGGCAAGTATTCTGTGTAGTGTCGCTTGGTATTTTGATACCCCAAATCCAGTACATGATGACTAGATTATTACTACAACAATGCCTTAGTGGAGGTCTGCATGTGGTTTAGAAAGTACAACAATATTAGAAACATCTCATAAAGCCCTTTTGAATTAATGCAAAACTCAATACTTTGTTTCTCTCTTGATTGGAAATCTAAAGGGCTTACCTTTAAAAATAAATGCACATGACCAGAGTTAAAAATAATACAGTGTTTAAATTACATCAACCGTCATTTTTGATGTCTTGTTTATGTTTCTGGGATGAACCATCTTTTTCGTCGCCCACGCCAACATTTTCTCCATGGGCAGAAGAGAGAAACTTCCATCGAGGTGCAGCGGGCCTCTGCTTTTTGGGAGCCTCGTATGGAAGTGCTATCATCCACTGCAACAGCAGGATGGGGGGGTCAAGCCTAAAAAGGAGACAAGTCCAGTCCAAATTAAGTCGGGTCAGACATGAGATGTTACAAAGAAAAGAAAATATACAATATGCAACCACTAATCCCAAAAGGAGGACTTTTGCACTACAAGAGCAATGATTCCAGGATGCAATCTTACCGATCCTTTATGTTCTTCTTGAGGGTGCCCATGCATATGTTGAAAGAGAATATAGTAAAGTGCCTCAGGCCATGCCAAGCCCAGAACCAAAACTCAAGCCTGGGGGAGAGAGAGTGACAAGACTCAATGAATAACTGCACACCATATTTTCTTAAATTGCTAAATTGCTAGTTGTGTCTCTGTTTAAATGTATAACTACAACCACAACATGCAGTAACCATGACCTGAATGATTCCATGGTCAATAGACTTTCCAGGGTTTAGTATGACATAAGTTAGATTGGTCATGATTTGTTGTTTTAAATGCATGGATTCCTCTAGATCTGTCTCAAATGAATCCTTAATATTTGAAATATATATTACTTGCCTGATGAAAAGATTGATCGTACTCTTATATTTGTAAGCTAAGTATGAAGCTCCAGCCACTTAATTTAGCATTGCATAATTACTGAAGACAGACCGAAACAACTATGTTAACATTCTGTATTTTTCTTACCTGTGTCTACTCTGAAGTAGTGTGTGAAACAACAGCATCAGAGGGAGGATCAGGTTGGAGAACATTTTTGCAGGGAGTCCAAAATTGCTGTGATGGGTCACTACGTTGCGGAGCAGAACTGAAACACATGTTTTCACAAATAATTGGTATAACAATCTCTGCATTTGGTTCAGCATTCATTTTGAAATTACAAATCAAGACATACTGTAACTTACAAATCAAGTGGGGGGGGGATCTGTTATGCTAAATGTAGTTAACCGATTGCTGAAATCAGTTTTTACAAACATTTGTTGACCAATTGTGGACAGGTAATTTAAATGAACCATTTATTTATATCTGAACAACAGAGCAGTCTGTAAATCATTGTCAGTTTAGTACAAGTGTGTACACCAGACATACCTTTCTTTATCATGTCAACATGGAGAGAAGGCTCTTTATTCTCTCCAGTTAGTTCATGTTCAGTAGAGCTGACTTTCTGCTCGGGTCGCTTGGTTGTAAAAGATGTCAGTGTAGCAGTCTGCTTTTCCACTTTTATCTCCTTCTCTTCCTTTGTGTCTGTCTCTAGATTCATGCACGTTTTTGTTTGGTTACAGTTAAGAGTTCCTTGGGATAATTTGTGGATCATCAAATATCGGCCATGATCTGCATACAAGGGGAAAATAGATTGATTGTGTGTAAACATGTTTAAATCTGCATGTTTTTATCTGTAGATAAAGTTGACTTACTATGGCTTTGAAGGAAATTAATAGCATCCTTGTAGCCGCTGTGGTAGGCCTGTTCCAGAGTCTAAAGCGCAGAAATACAATTCTATGTTTTAAAGGATACTTTTAGAAATGTTTTTCACAATGGAGGTGCTATTCATTTAAAATGATTCATCAACATGTGGGTAGTAAAGGCTCATCCAATCTAGACAGGGATTATTGGAAGGGATTCACTTAAACATTTAGTTTGACACATCATGGGTCTTTCATAGTGTCAATGTGTAGCACAAAAACGATTGATCATCTTCCAAAGAATATTAAATTAAATCCGAATCATAATAGAAGTTCACTTTCATTTATTGTTCCATATTTTGAAAGGGGTCTTACCTTTAGAGCCATGGGGTAGAGAGCATTAATGATCCTGGAACCGTTAGCCGTGTTGATCTTCAAGGTGCTGCCACTCACCACCATGTCCCAACTGCAAGGTGTGTCGGTGGGACAGATGTCTATCTCTCCGGAGAATGGACACACAGTCAAGGTCTGACTGTGGGGTGCCGCCAGCACTGGTTGCATTTCACTGAAGCCCCCGTCCACATAATACTATAAAAAAGATCACATAAATTATTATTCACACCAGCAGAATGTGCTTATTATGAAATTGTGATAATTCAATACTCACTACTCCTCTGAAGGATGGAGGCAGCATACCGCAGTAAACAGGCACGAAGCAGCTGCATAGCAAAGCCTACAGACATGGTTCAAATTAGATTTTTGCTTCTAACCTGCTTAGGTTTTGTTTTAAACATTAGGATGCCAACTCACCTGCACTACATCTTCTTTGGATTGGAAATCAGACGTGAGAATGTGCTTGCCATCAGACAGGCGTGTCATAGACACAGAGAGACGCCCGTTGGCCATTTGGTGGGCATCAGAAGGAAGATGCTTGTGTAAAATACTCTCCAACCAGTGGGAAACATTCATTGAAGGGTTAAATGGCCCAAGTGTAAAAGACTGCATTTGTTCGGCAAATTGCAGCATCTCATCCCGAATAGTTACTGGGAAATTGAAGACTTAAATTCAGAAACAGTGAATATATGCAACAGAGGTAGATTTAAAAAATAAGACAAAGTCACTTACTCATGCTCATTTCACAGACTACAGCAGCTGCCACCAGAGACCCAGCAGAGGCACCCAGGACACAAGGCGCCGTGCGCAGTATCCACGGTGCATTATTTAGGAAGCATTCGGCAACCCCTAACTGGTAGGTAGCCATGAATCCAGATCCAGAGAAGGAAATTGAAAGAGGATTTTCACTAAAATGATAACTTGAAATTCCTGGAGCCATTTTCCAAAGGCTTTAAACTGTCAAATTAAATGTTTTCAATCATTAATCTGAAAAGTATTAATGCTCAAGCAAATACGGATTTCGTTCTTTTGATGTAGATTGAGTTATAGCAGGAATCCAGTAGAGAGTGGGGACTGTTTCAGGATCAGTGTCTTAAAACCAATCCAAATTAGACATACCATATTGGTCAAGCCCATGTGATATACAGTGCATGCTGCTCTCTCAATGGCTTTTTGTCTGTTTCATTTCCTAGAAGTTAACAAATAAACATGTTTGGCAATACCGAATTACTGAAAAACAAATCCAAAGAAGTACAAATATATAAAACATATTTGAAACAAGTGCTTTCCTTTATGTACTTTTGACCTTTTTAGGAAAACCGTTTTTGAGGATTTCACAGTTATGGTTTTCTAAAGGAACACTAAGGCACTATTGTAAGACATCAAGTTGAAAAATGTGTTTTGCTATCACACTAAACTAAATAAAGCACTATAATTCATTCTGAAAATCAAGTAGCAAAACTTCAGCTCAGATCTGCACAACTCTACGGAATCTCCTGCCCTCATTTTTTAGCAAATCATCAGGTGAGGCAGGAATGCTACTCTGGATGTGTTTATGTTTTCCTCACATATTGTCTATTTTTTTATACGAGCTTACTAATGCTGAAACATTTAGCTAAAGACACTATGTTCGAGTGACTGCCTTGCATTTCTGACCTTTCTGTTTGTTTGTCTCATTTTAAATAGGCCAAAACTGAACTTCAGCCTCACACTGTCTCTCCTTCAACAAAAAACAACTTTAACATTGGGGGGCCCTACTGCACTGGAAACACTGAATAACAACAGTTATATGGCTTTAGGAGGCATATCTTTGAGGACATTTTACAGGAGTTTCAATCAATAAGTTTGGTAAGAGACTCAACCAAAGAGAAGGGACCGCAATACTACATATTGAATGTATAGGTGAAATGAGGTGAGGCAAGAAAGCTGATAAACTAATGTTGTGTAATGCCACTACACCTGCCTTGCATAGCTGTGAAGGCTTTAACTACAAGCATCACAACCAATCACACATCCTAAAGGTTACGCTTATTTCTGTTTAACATCATACATACACAGACACTATTCTAAACACATTTTTAACCAACCTTATTTTTCTAGATTGATTGCGTAATTGTGTTAACCCCTATGTTGTCAGTGTTTTGAAAATCACCTTGCTCCTGGCAAAAGGCTGAGCTGCTGAACAACACCTGCCTATGTAGATGCGCCTCGTTAATTGGACTGTGCCATTCCCCTAAACTGGTGTTTAAAGAAGCCACTTCTCCTGAGACATCCATCTTTAAGTAGACAAAAGTATTTTCTCCACTGCACTCAACTATGGACTGGCCAGCGTTGTTATAAATGCCTGCAGTGTGGAGAAGAAGGCAGTAGCTCTTGGGCAGAAGAGAACCCAACATGTCACCCATTTTTTATAGTTTTATGTTCATTAATGTATGCTTAGACATAAGAGTATATCTGTTTATATTATAAATAATTAACCCCTTCCTCTTAAATAATTTTTGTTTCCCATCCTAAAAACGATATATGTTTTTGGTTAATTAATCCCCATATTTTTCATTATTTACCTGCCTTCCTTGTTTTTGTGTACCCTGGTCCTTCACAATAGCTTAAGTATAAACACCCTTACATATACAGTGATTTTTGTGGGGTTTTTGTCAAATATGCAGCTTGCAAAACAGGTCAGACTTTGTATGTCCAAATAAGAAATCACTTGTGCTAAACCCCTGAGCTTCAAGAGTAACAGTTACCATAGTATATAAAAAAATGCTTAACAGAATATTTATTCAATCAGGAAAACATTTACAATTACGAACCAATAGGCTCAACACAATTTTAAACTTCACAAATGCACTGTCTTTAAGTTGAATAACAAAACTAATTGTACAATGAACTACTGTACTGTATTAACTGGCAATTTACCTGCAGCACGAAAAAACTCCACCCTGTTTAAACCTGTTTAATAACAGTCTGAAACAAACTGGATACGACAGTAATTTCCATCACTTATTGCAAGACTTATATTATATTTTAAAATAAGTTCATCTTTATTTTTTAGACTGTGTTGAGCAAACCTAAAAAATCTCAGCTGATGAATATTTGTCCGTTCGAATATTGAAGTGATTTATTTCACAGTTTTCCTTGTCTCTTTCAATTAGTGTTCGTATTGATCACAGTTATGTACATTGATTCACAGAAAAATAGAAAGCAATATCATAGTTTAAAAATTCCTCTATAAATACACCTAACAGTCCATTTAGTTAAACTTGTAGATGCAAAGGTTGTTTTCGGAACACAAGTGACCATTGCATTATGTAATCACTGTGTTTTTGTATTGTATTTAGGACATTTAATCCATGGTTCATTTTCTATGGAGGATGCTGCGGAGAAGCACGATCAGGTGAAACCTCAAAATGGTCCTCACTGAACTCTTGCGTAGGACTGCTGTCTGCTGTCTCCTGAGGTGAAGTGTGTTCAGGGGACTCAACTGGGTCAACATGTAGTTTCTTTGTGTCATGTGGGAGTTTCAGAAACCTGAAGGGAGGCAGATAAAAGGCAATAATGTGTGTGTTTTGTTTTGGGAGAATACAGAAAGGGAATGAGACAAACAGAATTGGATGGAGACCTGAAGAGAAGTTTTTGCCCCCGCTCCTTTTTGATGATGTTGAGCTTGTAGTAGTGCCGCAAAGCCCTGGACATTTTCTCATAGGTCATATTGTCTCGGTTCTGTAATAAGAGATCACACATCATCAAGGGCCCGTGTGACTAAATTAATTATGACCCATGTCCCCTGTCTTTCATTTTTTGTCTTTAGACCATTTTTGAAATTCCCTGTAAGATAAAAGAAACAGAGCAGTGCTCACCTTGTGGTTTCCCCAGAGACGAGCCAGTCCATTGGGATCAACCACCCTAAACACAAGGCTGTCGTGGTCTTCCCATCGGATGTATTCTTGATATCGGTCATCACACAGCAGCTTATACACATAGTCCCACAGCAGTCTGCACTCTGGCCATGATTAAGACAGCAATAAGACAAATGCTGCCAAAATGTATAATGCTTTTATTATAGGTACTTTCAAGAAGCCAAAAAAGAAAAGATTCATTTTAAAGTACAACTGTAAAGCAGTGTTCATATCTAAGCATGTAGGCATCTGTTGTCAGCTGCATACTTTACATGGGGGAGTGTGTCACTAAGGCTACCTTAAGCAACATTTTTGAAATAGGAGAATAAAATTGAACTGGAGAATAAAATGTAACTGGACAAATTTTCCCAGTCTGAAGCATTTTCCAGCTCAGACTAACACATAGTTTATTGTTTTGGGTTTCTAGTCTGTGTTGCTCTTTGCTCGCCCCCACATACACACATATAGGCATAGAGATGTAGCTAAAGAAGAATATGTAGCTAATGAACAATGTTACAGCTTAATAGTGGACTCCTACAAGGAAGAACACACCTACTCCGTGCTGACGTTGCTCTGAAAACCTGTTTCAGACTTGTGTCTTGGAGTTTGTCTGCCCTCTAGTGGTCAGAATATACGTATGGCAGTTTTAGAAAATAGTTCATTTTTTGTTGCATATGTGCACCTTTAAAACTTACAAAACACATATGTTTATATATTTGTACTGTAGAGTAAATACTATGCAATCGTTAATAAGTAATGTACCTGGGATGCGGCCATTGGCGGGGTGCGCTGAGCTCCTTTGCTTCTCCCGACTGGACAGGTTGAGCGGCTCCTTGGCAGTCTCTAATTGGACAGGACTCTGAACTTGGTTGGGGGGCAATGCAGAGACAGCTGCTGATCCATCTAAGAGAGAGAGAAGGAAAGATAGAGAGAGCAACAAAGAGGGAGGGACACACAATCAGATATCACAGCAAATGATGACATCTGCTGGGCATCATCTTTCTGAGATTGTTATAAATTATACACACTGGTAGATGTGAGTGGAGCAGGGTGTGTGTAAACGATCAAGGGTCGATCTCTAAGAGGCGACATGTGCTCAGGCTGGCGGATCACAGTTGGTGCAGCAGCTGCCGAAACTGCAGTGGCGAAAGAGAGGAAAACTGTGAGAGAGAAATATGAGGAACTGTGACAAAAGCTTAACTGAAAGCAAAAGTGACTTTACAACAGCTTAAATATTTGTACAGCAATGCACAACACAAACATTTTGTAGAAACATTGATGAACAAAGACATTATTATATATTCTGGAGTTGTAATATAACACAACACACCTTTTGGCACACGTCCAGCTTCCTTTAATGGAAAACACCTTGTTTGTGAGACAGTGCATTAGTATTCCACTAGTGACGCATAAATGCCTTAACCAGCATTGGTGTAAGTACATTTACTCAACAACAGAATGCAGTTTTGAGGCGCTAGTAGTACAATGTGTGCGCAAAACCTTAGATATTTCACAATACCTACACTTATCTGATGTGTGCAGCTGCATAACACAATAATACGCAGTTCAGTTAATTCAACAACATACTCTAACATCACATGACAAGGGGACCTATTAACATCTAGACTATTAGACGCAGGGGTAAGGTTTGAACTTCAAAGTTTGAGAATAAAATGTCAAGGCCCCAACAAGTATAGAGAAAAAACTGTATTAATTCCTGCATGTGCTAAGGAGGAAATAATCACTTCGACAATCTAACCAGGATAAATGAGTTTGATTTGATACACCAACAACTCCAACAATCAACTATGTGTTTGTATGAACAGGACGTGTCTGTTCTTGCACTCCGCAGACAGTACATGACAATCTGACCTTTATGGTTTGCTGTCCATATCTTTCCTGTGAATAATACGTTTTAAAGTTTATTTCTAGACATTGCTGACCTTGGCTGACTGTGGGAGGCCGGGGCTCTTGGACAATCTGCGAGGGTATCTGGCAGCTGACTGGGCTCTGGTTGCGTCCAGTTGATGGGGAAGGAGATGAATTTTGGGGGTCACTGACAACACTCCTCCTTTGCTGTTTTACATACTGTAGAATCTCGTACAAAACATCACCTGTAAAAAAGGAAGGAGGTCCGTATGAAAACACAGGGGTAAAACTAGTCAGCATACTCTCTTTCTGCATGCACACTCATTTCTACCTGAGCTGGGGCAGCGGCGTCTGAAGTCCTCCTTGGTGAGCAGGCAGAGGGCACGACCGTTCATCTCAAAGCGTCCCTTCTCAGGCCTCCGCAGTGAGTACTCCCTCTGAGCCCAATGGAGCCAGTGGCCAACGTCCTCCTTGTCCCACAGAGATGGGTTTATTCCTATAAAACAGATGCACATCATTAAAAGCACACTGTTACAGAGGGCGTTTATGCTACAGGCAGATACATCTACTTTTGCTGATGCTGGAGTTGTATCTTTAAGGTAATAGTGTTTGACTTACGCAGACGTCCAGGTAGATGCCAAAGGTCTTCCTGCATGGGAGGGCTGTGCAAGGGAAGCTGTTTAGGGGGGGAGTGATGCACACTGAGAGGAATGCTGACTTGCCTTCCGGGCATTATGGATGGAGGAGTGTTTGCTCTGTTTTCTAGCTGCAAAATATCAACACACATTGCCATAAGAACACTTAAACTCCAATCAGTCGTGGTATACTGTAGAAACAAGAATGCAGATAATTTGATAATGTTTAATATAATGCATGAAAGAAACAACAATGTAGAGGGATTTAAAACATTTCACCCAAATGTTACATTTGCAGTAGCCTTAACAATGGAAGTTGGCCATAGAATAAAAAATGTAAAACTCTCAATCCTATAAAAGCTCTGTTTATATCTCTGCTTTATAAAGACAACACCTTGTTTGCTTCTGTGACCTCAACTTACCTTGACCAAAGGTGACGGGGGAAAGTTCTCCATGGAAATGTCCTTTATCTGTTCGACTGTAAACAATTACACTAATCCTTAATAAGCACTGATGTAACTCGTCCGAAAAATGGAACACACTGCATGTCAGATCTCCACGAACTCCATATTAAAGAAAGAAAGAACAGGATGTAACTTTCGAAGAAATAAAACTCCACTTTTTTCACATTCGACCCTTCCGGGAAATGAAAACGAAAGAAACACACAACACAATCCTTGTCATGGGTGTGTGCTACAAATCTGATTGGAGGAAGCAACAGCGGAGGACATTTCCAACAACATTGCACTTGAGCGATCTAGCAGCATATGTATTGGAGCAAAGTTTAAGCACATAGCTTTCACGCATTAAATATAACATGAAGGATCATTGTGTTCTGAATGTAAGTTAAATGGCAAGAGGTGAGTGAATAAATGTGGATACATGTATGACAGACTGCAGTACACAGAGCCGTGCGCGCCTATTACTTAAAGCAGAAAGTCCTTCAGGCTCCTCCTCTTACTGGCTTAAAGGAAAACCAAAGCAAAGGAAAGACCAGCGTTGAGTTTACAGGAGCAGACTGGTTACAGGATAACACTAGACGACGAACTAGGTAAGGTGTTTAATCCGGCGAGTAACACTTAATACCAATGTAATGCCCTCACTATGTTGAGACTTGACATGTTCTGGAGTCAAGTTCACTGTAATGGGACGCCTCCGACCAGAGAACATATGCACCGAGGCTATCAAACATACGTTACCATCGACTAAGTACTGTATAGCCTACAGTGAAAACGTGATAATGAATATCAAAGTGGAAATCCCTCAGGAAACATGACATGTGTCGTGCCCTGTGTCAGAATAAAAGTCCCTCTGACTGGAGGGAGGATTGGAAAGGTAGACGGGTGGATAGCTACAGTGAGTAAACCTTATGAAAGTGTTGAAAATGAAAGCCAATATAAAGTATTTTGGCCAATCTTTTTTTCATTAATAGGCTATATGTTATTGCTTTAATAATAATATTATTAATTATAATGATGGAGCCTACGTTTCACAACCCCCCACTCAAATTATACAGTCATGTGTTTAATGCAAGAATTGGAAGTAAACCAGGTGCAATTCAAATGTGCACTATAAACGGTTTCAAATTGTTCTTAGTGTAGCTAATCCTTATAATACCTGCCCTGTCTGCTGGTTACCTGAAAATCTGACAGAAAATCTACAAGTTTTGAAGAATCTGGTTGTTCAGGTGTCATACAAAGTTCAAACATATATAAAAAAGTGGCACTTATGTTTGATAAAAAAAAAGTAATGCCAAGATTCCACTATACCTCTAAACAGTATGACCCCCTCACTAATAAAAGACCAGTGCTTAAAATAGTAAAGATTTGTAATTTGTGGGTTTGCTATATACTAGTAAGAATGATTTACATTTTATTTTGTGTTTGTACATTTTTGAAATAGTCTTGTAACCACCTGTATAAAAATGTGTCTGCTGTCACAGTTCTCCAGCGATGTTTGCGGAAAAACTTGGAAAACAGTTGGGCCACCCTACACGATCAGTGGCAGGATGGCTGGTCAGTAAGTTGCTCACGGTACGCAACCGTGCTCTTGAGGAGAGTGTTGTGCAGATATCAGGGATCCAACCTGAAGACACAGTGCTGGAGCTGGGTCACGGCCCGGGTCTAGGTCTGCAGTCAGCAGCCAAACTGCTCACAGCGCCCACAGGACATCTTATAGGGCTGGATTACTCAGCGTACATGCATCAGGTCAGGAATGAATACTGACATTATGGAATACAGTATTTAAATCAATGAAGTCTGTTTCTGTTTGAAGTCTTGGCAAGAAGGCAGAAAACATACGAGAAAACCCTAAGCTTCTAGTTTGGGCCATTTTTGTATTTGAAGTGGGGGCTTTACACATTTTTTAATTGAAGGATATCTCTTTTTTTTCTCTTACAGATGGCAAGTGAGCTGATGAAGGAGCTTGTGGCCAGTGGGAAAGTGACCCTACACCATTGTGATGTAGCGGCAATGCCTCTGGTAGACAGCACTGTAGATAGAGTATTCCATTGCAACTGCTACTACTTCTGGCCTGACCTCAAAAAGGGAGCCACAGAGATTCACCGGGTAATGAAACCAGGTAAGACATAACTTTGTAACCATAACACAGACTTTATTTTCAAGGCAGATATGTTATCCGACAAGTTGTAACTTTCCGAGCAATATGGCTGTTGTTTAGTAGTGCTTTCCTGCACAGTCATTCTTTCATCTCTCTTGAACCCACCCAGGAGGCCTGATGGTGACTGGGCTGAAACTGTCAAGTGTTGCTGCTTTTGCAGCAAAGCGAGTAATGCCAGGGGAGAACTGGCGCCCGGATGCCTACATGACAGCTCTGAGAGACTCTGGCTTCACTGATGTCAGAATGGAAGACAAACAGCACAAACACATTACTTTTCAGGCTATCTATGCCACTGCCTCAAAATGAGATGAGATCATACTACAAATATAAGCATCATCAATGCCAAAAATAAAAAATAATCAATTGTATCTATAACTGAATGAGTTGGATGTCAAAGTGATTAAAATTAAATAAAAATGAGCGGACACTATCAACATAATTCACCATTATCTGTGGCTAAAAACAGGCTTTTATCTTGCATTGCTTTTTCTGTGATGGTTTACCTTCACACTCACAACTGTTAATGTTAGTGTGTTACTATGGTAACATACAGTGTTTAGAGTAAAAGTGTAGGAAAAGATGAAGTTGTGTGTCTCTAATTTCTTAAACCTTCTACAATATATGATTTTTAAAAATCATGTCCAGACTTGTAACTGAAGACATTAGAAAATGAACAGTAGGTGGCGATGGTGCTCGGCTAGGTGCACATATCCAACAGAAGAAGAAGAAGTTGGAGAGGGAAATCCAAAACAGCGCAGGTCCTCTGCACGGTGTTGTGAAGTTAAAAGTTGAGCTGCAACAGCGTCTGTAAAGTGGTGACAACTGTCAAATCGTTCGAAAAGTAAGTGGTTTTATTTTAAGATCAAGTTAACCATAAGCCTATACTATTTTAACTTTGGCGTTGTTGTTGGACTCGCAAATGTTCTAAGGTGGTCCCTAATCAAAGAATGAAGCTTAGCTAGTGTTAGCTTGGAGCTCATCTTACCTAGATAACGTTGAAATATGAAACGTAAAGTGTTAATTTAATGACATCAATATCAGTAATGATTGAACACCAACGATCGTTGGTTAAAACGAATACATAAATGAAAGGCCAATATTTCCACTGTGTATGTGTTGTGATGCAGAATGCAGAAGGCTTCCCGTTTGAAGCGTGAACTTCAGATGCTGAGCACCGAGCCTCCTCCCGGGATAACATGCTGGCAGACGGAGGAACAGATAGACGACCTGCGGGCTCGTAAGTACAGGAGAACACACACGATAATGTAAAACCAACAATGTCTTCTTAACCAGGGGTGTCCAAACTTTTTTCACCAAGGGCCACATACAGAAAAACATACGAATGACTGAGCCACTCCCTAGAGGTGAGGTATATTGCCTCATCATAACATAAGTTCAGTTATAAGTTGGAAAAATCAATCAAATGTAGGTAAATTATTCTTGATATTTGAAAATGCTTTAAGAAAAAAACAGCCTACATCACAGCACTCCATAGTGTTACATTTATTTTGTTACAAAAAGTGTTGGCAGCTCAGTCCTTAAAACAGAAGCTTCAGATTGCTTATAATTAGAGGAAATATGAAAGTTATATTTCAAGGTTGTTATGTACATTTGTTATTGAGCTTTTTTCTTATCAACTTAGATTTGTTAGAAAATGTTTTCAACTTTAATTGCCTGAATTTATTTGAAAATTGAATACTGTGTAATATATTTGAACATGTATATTTAAGAAGTAAAATATAAGATAAGCAGAAGTTTTATTTGTGGGCCATATTTCATTATACTTTTTGAATTAGCTGAGGGCCGATTTCAAAATGGTCCGCGGGCCGCATTTGGCCCCCGGGCCGTAGTTTGGACACCCATGGTCTTAACTCATTGAAGTGTTATATAAAACAAACTAACAACGAACTATCTTTGAACTAAAACTCACTATAGGCTACTGTATTGTTTTCAAACTTATGCATTACCTACGTTGTGGAGATATGAGGATACAGTTGCAGTATTTATTAACCAACATGGTTTAAGATTGTGTGAACTAGTTTATCTTAAAAAAGCCAATTCTACATTCATTCTGTGATTGCTTTGAATTAAAGAGAGACAGTATGAATTTAGCAGAATAGGTGTGTTTCATAGTAAAACCAAGATGAGGTCATGTATAAAGAAAGATATATATATCCATCAGAGGGATTTGTTGGTTGTGACAAAGAATTTAAAAAGTATAGTTTTAGTTTGTGCATAAAGTGGCAAATGCATATTAAAGGTGAGTGAATATTGTTTTAATAAATTAAATATGATACATTTAATTTCTTTTTTTTATAACTTATTGCGGAAGGTTTGAACAATTGTTAGTTAGGATCGAAACTAGCCTCTATTCTAAGCAGAATACTTAATTTGTTCTCAGCATTATACCACCTACAGTATTTATGATAAACTGAATATTTGTTCTATCTAGCTGATCTTCTGTTTTGTTCTTCCACTGGTTTACAGAGATAGTGGGTGGAACAGAGACCCCGTATGAAGGTGGGCTCTTCACTTTGGAGATCAAGGTCCCAGAAAGGTATATTATCTCAAAGTCTTAACATTGATATATGTTCTCTCTACCATTTCTACATTGTAAACACTTAATGCAGTTTATAAGTCTTACCTGCGGTTTTCCTCTCGTAGGTATCCATTTGAGCCTCCTAAAATGCGTTTCTTGACTCCAATCTACCACCCAAACATTGACAACTCAGGGCGTATCTGTCATGATGCCCTGAAACTACCGCCAAAGGTAATAACGGATTAATACAAAAAAAGTTGGTTTTGATTCATTTGTATCATCTGGTTTTGTTTGTCTGCTGTCAATTTTTTATACATTTGTATTATTATTCAGGGTGCTTGGAGGCCATCTCTAAACATCTCCACAGTCCTCTCCTCCATTCAGCTGCTCATGGCCGAGCCCAATCCAGATGACCCACTCATGGCTGATATAGTAGGTCACACATAATCTTGCATTCCCAGATATCAAATAACCTTTAAAATACCATACCTTTTTCCAAGTAATAATATTGTGGTGGTTTTATTTTTTGTGTGAATATTCTTATGTGAATATCAATAAATATGTATTTATCAATAGACTTAAAAAGAAATGTGGACATAACAATGGCTAAGAACTATATAACACTATACTTCAAACTTGCTCCTGGAAATGATTAAATACTCTTTCCAGTATGCATTTTCAAAACAAGCCCGACGTTTTCAAAAATCCCGAAACATCTTGTTTTGTTCAGTCCGATCCACTTACATCTTTTCACAGAAAACCTCTTACGGCCTGAAAATGGCATTTGAATTGTAATTCAATGGTGTATCCCTGCCGTATACACAAGTAAAAAGACATTTACATTTTTTGAATGCAGTCATCAGAGTTCAAATACAACAAACAGCTGTTTACGGAGAAAGCCAGAAAGTGGACACAAGAACACGCTGTTCAGAAGAACATGGTAAGTCTCTCTGGTTTGGGTGAAGAAGTTGTAACATATTTAATGTTGTTCATGATTGAAATAATTATCCAGCTTAATTTATTTCATTATACACTGAGCTCGTGTGTATGCTCCATTATACTTAGTGGTTGACATGATGATTGCAAGGAACTGTCTGTCATTGAATTAGCTCTTTGTAGTGGTATATTTTACTCACAAGGTGGTGCTGTAGTACCTCGAAAGAGTGTTACCTGCTAACTTAATATTTACTTGTAACAAAGAGATGCCGACTGTTTGAGCTATATTCAAATGTGACTTCAATATTTCAAAATTCTCAGCTTTTGGATGTGAAGGAGCAATATATGTACTGTTCTGTCATTGACTCATTAGTTTTTATCTCGGTCTTTGTTCAGGGAGTTGAAGAAGGCAACAAAGAAAATACTCCAGGTCATAAAGCTTCATCCCGCAAAAGAGAGGCTTTCACTGCCCATCTTGAAGCAGAGGAGCCCACAAAGAAAACCTGTGTGTAGTTTGCATCTTGCTTGTTAAAGTCAAAGATCTCTCTTTTCAAGAGCCACCAAGCCTTATACCTGTCGACCTTTAAAGGGTATGATTTTAAATATTATATTTAGTGCTTATTCATACTTCCTTTTACCATGTATGCATTCCTTTTTCTAAATCCAGAAATACCCACATATTTATATGTATAATTTGTATATGTATTTGTTTGATTTGTGATATTAAAGTTGAGTTTGAACACTAACTGTTGAAATTCATTTTGATACATGAAATGCTTGGCCTCTCGGGGAATGGAGGTGTGTTTCACAGTGGTAGCATACGCAGACTAGTGATGGCATAAAAAGTATGAAGATAATAATTTTATTAAAACATATGCTTACCAGTTGTATACAAAGTATGTACATCCTAAATAGCAAGTTTTTTTTTACAAACTAAGAATTTATTTCTTAATATATAAAATTATATATTTGCTGTTCATCATATAAAAAGGAAGACAAACATCTTAAGGCTGTAGTGAGTCAATACCATGCTAGTTCAGAGGTAGTTGCATTGTATGTACATATTGCTAGCCTACTCTAATGTCCGTTGAAAGATAGCTACATCCCATTCAGTCTGTATAACTGCATGTCTCCTATTTGCATATATGAGACAGAATATTGTAAACCAGATGAAACTGCAATCCGTTTTGTTTCAACATTCTCTGACAGCTACCACACAGTTGTAAAGAAATATATCTGATAATAACATTCCTGTGAATTGTTAGCTTACTCTGGTAAAAATGTCCTGGTGTGTCTGATAATGACTCCCTTTCTTTGAAACAGACTTAGCAATAGGATAGAACTTATATTTTATAACAAACAAATAACATAACCACTTAGAATACAACCGAACCATCTGTAACCTCTAAGCTGCATATCACATAATCACATTCCAGTATAAACATGTACACTTAAAATTCTACTGGTTCTACCTTTATTCCCCCCTGGCTAAACCATTGATTTGTCTGATGCTTAGAATTTCTTTGAAGTTAACATTTAATATTTGAACTTCTTTTTGTCATGCAAGTTCATGTCTGATGCAGTCCACTGGGTATCGTCTGAAATAGTCTTTTTGTTTTCAGACGTGATGTATTGTGGTATTTCCTTTAATGTCTCAGGGAACTTTTAGTGACACTCCATTTTAAGAGGCACTTTGTAGTGTTCTTATAGACTTCTCTCTAGTACTCTACAGTCTCTGTGGGGACTCATTCTGAGGTGCTTGCGGATTGATAACCCAGAGCTGGTCTTGCTGCGGCTTGATGATGGTCCTTTAGTGTCCCAGCTATTCAGACAGCTAGCATGGAGGCTCATGGATGAGAGGTGAGGGAGGGAGTTGTGGTGGAGTGATACAGAGGACAAGTGTTATGAATCGTCTCTTGATCCAAACTCTTCAGACATTCATCATCATTCTGGCTCCCTCTTCCTGTCACCCTGTCTCTATCCCTGGCTGTGGGAGGGGGTATCTGACAAGGGATGAGGGGAACGGAGGAAGTAGAGGAGCAGTAGGAAAACCTGATTGGATCCAGTCGGGGTTGGAGAGTGGACCCCCCACTATAAAGGGCGTCAGAATCTGCATGTGACACCTGTGTTGACGAATCGGAGCAGGAACTCTTCTCCGTCGCCACAGAAACAAGGGAGTCCAGGGTGCGGTCCCGACGTAGCTGTGGACGCGCTTTAGGATGAGGCCAGAAGAAAAACTGGGACTGGTCTCGTGTGAAAAGGAGGAAGAGGAGGGGGTTGAGGCAAGCAGGCAGGGGCTGGAGAAGCAGTAGAACTGATTTTAACACCTCCTCACCCAGAGAGAGTAGACCCAGGAGGGAGCAGAGGGAGAGAAATGCTACTGGTACATAGAGAAGGCCATTTGTGAATATTAGCCAGGCAACATGTTTGATCATAGCGCAGTCCCACAGGCCGTCACATTCTCCCCTCAGTAACTCCCAGTATAGGCGAATGTATGAGCCCGTGACGATAAGCAGGCACAAGGTGTTCATCATTATGAGGGATAAGGGAAAGCCCAGGGAGGACGGGAGTCGAGAGGATGTTGGTGGCAGGGGCGAGGGAAGGCAGAAAGGTGACGACCCGTACTCCCCAACTCCTACCAGTGGGAGAGAAGCAAGGGTGAGGGAGAGAGTGAGGCAGAATAGTGCACATGTGCGCACACTCCCAAGGGACGGGGACTTTCCATAGGCACGGGCACATGTCACGCTCACACCACACTGAACAGCTGCCAGAGTCAGCAGCAACACACTTGCTTCAGACGCAAACACCCAGACCCATCCTGTCGCCTGACAACCAGGACCCCCCTCCCAGCGGGCACCGTGGTGACCAAACTCTCCCAGGGTTAGAGCGTCCACTAGGGCCAGGGTGCATGTACACACACCCGTCAGCAGGTTGGAAGCACCCATGCAGGCCACAGTGAAGCGGAGAGGTGACAGGTAGCCGGATGAGCCAAAGAGGGAGAGGAGCAGGAGGGAGTTCCCAAGAAGAGACACCAAGGAGATCGACCACAAGCCCACACGAACCAGCCAGCTGCCCAACAGAGAGTCGCAGGGTCGGAAAGGACCTGCAAACACAAAAATCATCAGCTGTAGATAAGCATGGCTTAATGTCCTTACACTGTTGTTGGGACAAAACAATCTGAAGGCCAATTGATAAGAAATGGATCATCATTACTGCAATTGTACCTGGAGTTGGTGTGCATTGAACACTGGTCTGTAGTTTGGATTCCTCTATTTCCATTTGGAACTCTTCCAGGTCAGGATCATCTGGAATAAAGCGTTGTTAGCTTGTGCAATATTTCGTGACAGCTTTTTCTCCATGTGTATGTATAAAAAGTTAATTCATTTTACATTGTGTGTGGCATTGGCTTCAGGGCGTAAAGCATTAACATTATTTTGCAATGAAGTAAAAAATATGAATCGAGGAAAATTGGCACTAGCATGATATTTGATCGGGGTAGTTTTTATTTTTTCATTTGGCCCATGAATTAAAGGCTGATACCTCTTAATCAGTAACATGCCGTGGTTTTGTTATTGTATCCGTTGGGACACCCAGCATTGTTTATTTTCAGCTTTAATGGTGTAGGTTTAATGGTTTTAATTTAAATGTAATGTTGGTTTATTGGTGCTTATATTTTATTCCTACCACAGGAATGCGTTGAAGGGTCAACATTCGACTGTAAGTGTGTTTCAGCTGCCAGGTAGCTGAGGTTTCAGCCAGGCTCTGACATGTTTAAAGTGGGCTTGTGTCAATAATTCGGCAATGAGCAGAGACATATGGGGCTCAGATTTCTGTCTATTACTTTACCCCCATTCCAAGTGTGTACCATGTGTGTTATACTGCACATATGTTTGCACAGATAATGTAATTGCGTGCTTTCTTACAGTGTGTGTCGGCGTGCATAGGGTACATGGCTACTGTACGCTTGTGTAGGTCCTCGTCAGTGTTGCTCTGCTCTGTGTCCCACTGGCTCACCGGCTTGTAGCTATCACAGGATCCATACACACAGCACTGGTAGGCATAAGGCATCTCTATTACCCTGTAACAAACCGATGGAACAGTATTGACACAAGACCAGGAGACACAACGGCACAACTTACAAATGCATAAAGACCTACATTAAAATTTGAAAGCAACCTTAAGTGCTTATAAATCTGTTTCTGAGTTCATATGAACCCATAATCTAGGGAAAATAAGGTGAATTTGTCAGTTGTCTTAATCAATTTACGTTGTGGATGGCTGTATGCAAGCATTTACTTTACATTGCTTTTGAAATGTCTCTGCCAGGAGTTCTGTTTTGGACAATGTTCTACAAATGCTGACATTGCCACTTGATCGGCTGCCCGCTCCTATTTCCTTGAAAAGTTCTCTTCATTTTCACTGCTGATTTTCAGGCCTTCGGGCATCTTTTCAACAAGAATTAACTTGCTGACTACAAATGCTTCCTCATTGTTGAAGATCTGCTCAGGAATAGCTTGCAGGAAAACGTGTGATTAAGTTAATTGTCAACCTTGGCTGCTCTTGGTAAATAAAAGGTGTTAATAGAAAATTGTGAGAGGTAGGATAATTAAAGGGATGGGAAGTGTTGCATTGTTCTGTACAGCCACAGGTTACACACCTGGGTATGTTATCATCTTATGTAAGTTGTTGATGAAAAACCAAAATACATGTAAGAAACATTAAGTAAGAGAGAATAACAGGGGCTTGATGGTGTGTTTTTACCTCATACGGGGGAAGTAATCAGGACTAAAGGCCTCGTATAACTCTGTGTTGCCTCTTAGCTTGAGATGGGTGAGACCTCCCAAACCTGCAACAGGTACTGAGCTCAGGCGATTCTCAGTCAGGTCCCTGAAATTTAAGAAATTGAGAAAGAAAAAGTATCAGATCAGGCCTTTTACAAAGTGTGTTTTCATTACATATATTACAGAGGGTCATCGTTGGTAACAAAAAGTCCTTGTCTCTTAGAAATGTTAAACTGTTCAGACAAGGCTCTATCAAATTACCTCCAGATAACACTTCCTGTCAGATGTAGTCGATCTGCTTGTTTAGCTACGCATACTTTAATCAGTCTTCACACAATGAAGCAGTTTGTATTGGCATGACCTGAGATGAATCTCCTGGCCACACAGAGGGGTTTTCAAACAATACATGCATATCAGTGTTCTCTGTAGACTCAGCCAAAGACAATAGTCAAGAGTGGAGTGTTTGTATAAGGCAAAGCCTCTGACATCCAGCTTAACTTTAATTAAAGATGCACAAATCCAGCAAGCGTCTTTGGGGATAAAGGGAAGCTGCTGAACGTACAAATGAAAGGAAAAAACATTCTTGTTGATAGTCATATATCTGTGTATACTCACAGTTTGATCAAAGAGTGAAGCGAGACAAAGGCATCCAGGTGGATCCACTCGATCATATTCCAGCTTAGATCACTGACAGAAATGTAAATCCATATAAGAGAAACAGACGGAAAGGAATTGTAATAAAACATTGAATGTTGGATACTGATCACCACTAGATGTCAGTAATAGGTAATAAGTCTACATAGTTTGATCTTGACACATGCTTCTTAGCCTTGTTGGCTTATATATAGCCCCCTAAAAAGCACCAAAGCCTCTACATGGTACATTTAATCATACTATGAAGGATTTGCCTCCACAGATTGTTTTATTTGGATATATCTATAAAATAGTTAACACTACCAAGAAGC